TCCAACTTTCACCAAGGTTAATAGGAACCATAACAGCTCCCTACCCTTCCCCCCTATAAGAATATCGATTTGTAGCCTCACATTTCAAGGTTAGACTTCTTGTAATGTTTCTGTTCAACATTCGGCGATTTCTGACAATTTTCCCAATAAAACATGATCATTGTGACACTAAGCCTGGCAACGCTGCATAGTAGAGGGAACTCTCAGCGTCACGTTGATGGTTCGTCACCACGCACAGGATTGTAATCAGTTACGGATACCCGTTTATGAGCGCGAACGTTTTATGCACGTCTTGACTTGATTTTTCTTGCGGAAATTTAATATTAGTCTAAAATGTCTGACACAGATACAGCTGATGAAGTGGTTGAAATCAGCTTAACGTCACCCAGAAAAAGGGCTAAAAAGCTTCATCTTAGCGCAGGTGAAAAACAAATTATTCTAAATATCTACAAGAACCAGATGCAAGAGAATAGTGGATTGGCTATAGAAAATATGTAAGGTTGCTGAAATTTCTGGAGTAGGTCGATCAAGTGTTTACAAAATCTTGAAGGAATATAGACAAAATCACTTACTATCTGAGCCAAAAACATATCCAGCGAGAAAAAAAAATCATCGAAAAAATAGATGACTTTGACAAAAGTGCCATTAGAAGAAAAGTACATCACTTTTTCTTCAGGAATGAAATACCTACAATAGATAAAATATTGAAGCAATTGAATGATGATGAGGACCTGCCAAATTTTAAAAGATCTACGTTCCATAAGCTGTTGAAAGAACTAGACTTTCGATTTTTGAAAAGAGGAAGGAATAGTTTATTGATAGAAAAGGAGGAAATTGTTATCTGGAGGAGAGAATACCTTAGAAAACTTAGGCAATTCCGCGCTGAAGGAAGAAAAATTTATTATTTAGACGAAACATGGGTGAACGCGGGGCATACGCAGGGAAAGGTTTGGGTAGACAGATCTGTGAGGTCCTCAAGGCAGGCTTTTTTAGATGGCCTTTCGACGGGATTGAAAAATCCTGCAGGTAAGTTTCGAAGTATATGAACTTTTTTGGATGCAGATAATTCATTTTCTGATCGAATCAATGATTTGGAAGCTCCGAACTCAGTTTTGCTATCTCATCCAAGTTTCTGAGTATTTCCTTCACCCAAAAACTAATCTAAGACCCTATCCTACACTAACCTAAAAAGAGTAAGTTGCTTAATTTCGTCATTTAGTGCGCTCGCTGAGAAGTAAAATAACTAATTACTTTCAGGCAAGGGAAAACGCCTGATCATTTGCCACATAGGTAGCGTAGATGGATTTGTTCCTGAAGCATTGTGGGCATTTGAATCCAAAAAACTGGAGACTATCACGAAGAAATGGATGATAACTCATTTGAAAATTGGTTCAAAAAAATTTTGCCGACACTTGATGATAACGCAATTATTGTGATGGATAATGCCCCGTACCACTCCAGAAAATTGGAAAAAATTCCAACAATGGCCACCAAAAAGGCAGACATTCAACAGTGGCTTGTCTCAAAGAAGATCGACTTCGACCAAACAATGGTCAAAGCTGAGCTGATAAATATAGTCAAGCGACATAAGTATAAATATGATTTAAAAATTGTTGACGAAATGGCCAAAAACCAAAATAAAACGATTCTCAGGCTGCCTCCCTATCACTGCGAACTGAATCGTATCGAGTTGATTTGGGCCGACATCAAGCAATACGTGGCGTCAAATAACAGCACTTTTAAGTTTTCTGACCTTAAAAAACTGTTTGATGTTGCTGTCGATAGAATTACGCCAGCAAAATGGAGAACATGTATTGACCATGTCCAAGAGAAGGTTGAAACCAAAATGTGGGATATGGACAATATCATTGACACCCAAGTTGAACCCCTTATAATTGACATCAACAATTCTGATGATTCAAGCTCCTCGGAATACAGCATATAAATCGATTGATACCATTAAGACTGGCAGTTTAACGGGCTTTTTGACAAGACAGGTAAGTTCATTATAGACTGCAATCAAAGTGTAAGTTTCTAGTTATTAATGTGGAAATTCCAAATTTATAATTACACAAAATTAGGGTTAATTTAGGAGTTCCAAAGCATAATAGTGCCATTTTGACCTTCTTCCTATTTCTCATGTAAATTTTAATAGCAATCAAACTAACAAACTTTATGGAGTCTGTAATAAACTTTTGTACTACTACTACTACGTCTGTAGTTTCTATTTGCTCAAAAAAATTTGCTCTGCATTGTGAATAAAAGGTTGATTTGTAAATATTATTGGGTATATATGTACTATGCTTTTGATAGAATTTACAGCAACACATATCTTGTACGACATTTTTTGATAGATCAGTCACAATAGCTTGATACGGCCCTGTAGCGTCTCCTACGGTTAAGTTCTTGATCACGTGCAATACGGGTGTATATGTTTGATTTTACTTTGTTTCTTCGATGGATACAGTTTACATATGTATATCCTTGTTTCTTTTTAGAATACCTCTGACCGCTTCTGCTAGTTCCTTTGAGCACCAGCTAAGGTAAACCTAAAGTTGTGTTATGTTAATGGCATAGTAGCGTAAAAATTTCATTGAAAATTTTACAGGGCAAACAATTTCACTCGTTAGTGTATAATCGGATGTAACGAAATGAAAGACAAGCTGACAACAAGGTCCGGATGTTTACCGCAAGGTTTCGGACTCTGTCATGGTTGCTGTCCATTATTGCCGTTACTAGGCTTAGTAATGTCTACCTCGCCCGCTAAAGTAAAGATACTTTCTTTCAGTCACAGTTGAATACTGGGCCTAAAAGTGCCCAATTTTGACTAGAGATCAAGCAGCTTTTTTTATAATTGATTAAAAAAAGGGGTTGTTTACTGATGCCCGAGTATAACCGAACAGAAGGTAATACAGTCAGAAAGATTTGTCTTTCCTTAAAGTACGCCAGAAATGGTTTTGTCAACTTTGTGTGGACATAAGGGGCACAATGTACTCTAAATGGTACAGTTTTTTACTGATAGCACTGCAGCTAAGCAATTGAGAGACCGTTGAAAGTCAGTAGTTCATCGATATACTAATGAGATTCAGCTATGGCAGAGTGCTGAACCACTCGCCATGTGAATAACAAGTGACCACTCAAATCCAACTCTGGACTTTAGCACAACTCCTAAAGTCCTGCCATTGCTTAAATGTGAATATCTGTCAGCAGAGGAGATAGTATTGCTACTTGCAATTCATTAACAACTCACATGTTGCTGTACAGAGACCAAGCGCGCATCCCTGCGTGCAATAATTTCTATTTATAGCGGCCGCTACCTCATGGTTCACCTTAGGTGGCTAGAATCAAACAGAATATATTCATCAATCGTCATCAACAAGATCTGCCCTCGAATTGTCAGCCTTGAAACCATGCGCGAACATTAATTATACTAAGGTCGTACCGTCACCTACGAGTATTGAAACATGGCCTTTAAGACATCACAATCCAGAGCGCCCTGCTGTTCGAGTGTCACCTATGCAAAATGTAACGCTAATCGGGCGTAATGATACCTAATCTCCGTTATTACTGAAAATTAGCACTTTGGTGGTTTCCTAACCGGTCATGTTCATACGTACAGTACAGTTATCGCCAACCAGGTGGAGTTTACTATCACAAGCAAAATGTAACGCTAGTCTCACATAGATGTACCTAATTTTTATCTGTTATAAATGAAAAATGCTATATTGCTACATTGCTTTCACAAACCAGATGGAAATCACAAACATATAATTTCTAGTGTTTTATAATACATCGAACTTAATGTGCCTAGTAAAGTTATGTGGGAAGTTCAACATACTTGAAGCCATTTTATAACTCACTGAAATGTTTATACCTAGATTGCAAGAATATGGAGAGTATTCTATTTACAAAATACCACTCCTCACAATCTTGATATTATTTATTATAATTCACAAGCTACACGGTATCAATCAAGTGTCTTTCTGACGGTGTGATTGAAACACGACAAAGATGTTAGTGATTACACTTACTCGTCCACAAAATTAGCTCACAAATCCACTTACTAATTGAAAATAAACAGATCGATAGATACATCCGTTCATGTGCAAAGAGCAAAGCACTAACGAGCCACATAAAACCACACTTTTTCCGGCCCGAATCCATGATTATTTTTGTAAACATGCAGCCATACATCCAGAAAACATCACATTTCAGATAAACGATAACAGCACACATGCAAAAACACAATTTATACGGGCATACATGAAGCTATTACAAAGAATATAATTCATAGATAAATTAATTGCGGTATTACGCTTGCTCGTTAAATTTATCACCATACCGTATTAATTTATTTCAATTGGATATTTAATCAGTGATAGTCACTTGGGGGTGGGGAAATAAACGGTAACGTAACGTGTGTTGCTCGCTATCATAGTTATGTCCATGCAACTTTTATTAGATACTTGATTATTGCAGTCTGGTCCTGCCAAATGAACTCGCGAAACTACTATCTCTCATAGGTCTAGCAATATACAGAATTATTAATAAGAGTTTGGCAATATTTCAAGGACATAGAGTAGATTAAAAACATGCAACAAGTTCATATAAGCAAAGGGACCTAAGATACCGATATGGTAGATGGTGTTGAAATTATAATTTCGAAATCGAAACAAAAATTATATCTCCGAAGTGGATTATAGTACGGACTTGGGTTTTGTATCCACATTATGGTGAACACATATAAGAAACGTGCTTAAAAATACATCAGTGGCGTAAAAATTGGGAAATTTCGATCCCTTTAGAAAAAAAAAGAAAATTATTTTCTGTGCAACACCTATTGCATTTTGAATTTGGTATTTGAATTTACATGAATTGGCTTTCTTGAAATACCTTTCGCAGACTACTTCATTTGAATATTTGAAGCAACATCCATATAGAAAGCTTCAACATTGACATTGAAAATTTTATGACGTAGAGATTTAAAATACCCTTAAACCTTTTTTGTTTTTCTTGGATGTCCCTTCTACCATAGATGTCTTTCTGAATCACGCTGTATATTAAGAACTGGTCGTTTGCTCCTTGCGTGTCTAGATGTTGACCAATCTATCAGAAGAGGCTTTCTGTGGTGCTGTTAGTTCGGTCAGTTCCAGCTTCAACCAACAAGATATGTATAACCTCAAATAACTTCAGATGGCCCATATAGAATAACCTAGCTCCTCAACACATCTATCTCCGAACGTTTTTGTTAGAAGCTCACAAACAACCATAAGAATTGCTTATTCAGTAAGTGATGTTTTTGGGAAGGATTAGGTAAAATTTTGCATTGTACCTGAAATAAAAATAATTACTTAGGAATAGTTTGTTCACCTTGTATCTTCTAAGCAAAATATTTCTTTTAAAATAGTCTCAGAATGGTCTAAGGAATGATTCCTTCAATGTGTGTCCTATGTTTTGAAAGCACCCAGTAGAAGAGAAACCGACATTCACTAAAACGTTATTTCTCATACGATCACCCAATAAAATACTGGCAGTAGAGAACACTCAACCCTTTTGTTTTGGTTTCCATTTTAAATGGTTCCACGTGGAATAAAGCATGAAAAATTTAAAAATAACTTAGTCATATAACCACGTCGCTCCTTATGTATTGAAGAAAGTTGAACGAATAGGTTTGTGTATTTTTTCACTATGGTCGATTCATGGTTTAGATATAAAACGGGAAATTAAACTTTCTCAGATGTTCTCTTTGCCCTGGTTTCTCCTTTGTAAATATAACAACATACAGAATAAAAACATAATATAGTATGTTAATAAATCAATATTTGAATGTAATCTTCAATAATGTTCTGCTAAAGCAACATAAGTCCACAACAGTATATCGGGATTTTTCATTACTATTATTAATAAAGTGTGAAAGTTATTAGGAATTTCTATCTTTCGGAACTCAAATACTACATTAAAGTCAAAAAAATGGTTTATTTGTCATTCACACAGTTTCTATTGTCTTTTGGAAAATTCAAATTATGTGACTTACAACCAATCACCATTTCAATTGTTTTGCACACGCAAAGTACAAAATGCGGCAAGAATAATCGATCTATCGCAGACATTTTGTAGAGAGATTTTGAGAGCAAAACACACAAAGGGAATGTGTTTGACATCACTTTGGTGATGACACAGATCGGCGGTATAAAGGATTTACAGTTCAATTTAAAGGTACTTTGGCAACACGTTAACCATAAACAGAATTGTGAATGAGAACGAATTATAAACGAAAATGCAGGTACATTTCTCATATTGGGCTTGTCATGTTTCATATAATAGAATATTAAATATCGAGACTAGCGCTGGATAGCTAATAGTTCATTTAGCTATGACAATGAAATGTCGCAATGGGACGAGCATCATACAGGAGAATGATGTAGGATTTACAAAATCCACGTATATAAACCATAGATGTTGCCTTTTTATTATAAGGTTTTTTGGATGCTATAATATGACATGTATATCATAAAAAACCATGTCACTCATTTCCGTCTGTCTGTCTTGTCCGCTAAAAAAAGTTTACTACTATGAGAAGGACGAAAAAGCACTAGATTTTAAAACTCAGTCCAGTGGCGCCGGAGTTACGGAGCAAAAGACGAAAAAATGGAAATCGATCAAACTTCGTTTTTAGAAGTTTCAGAGGCGCCTGATCATTTGTAAAATGTGTAGGGGCTAAAACTTGAGGGTAGGGGTTGTAGGGCGTGCGGGCTGGTATATCTCAAGTTTTTAAGTTGGTAGATAACGGCCAATTTCACCTTCATTAATAAGAAAAGACCTTATTGAAATGGAAGCTGTCAAAGCTCTCTGAATATCAGTGATTTCTATTGAAGTATTGAATAAAATCGTGAAAAGCGATTGTGTTATAAACAAGAACACTTTTTGATTCCAATATGATGCTTTTGTATAGAGAAAACAGGACAACTTTCATGTATTTTGTTCTTTTTATAAATTTACATACAGGGTATAATCGTTATGGTAGTCATTATTGAAATGGGTAATAGGGGGGATCAAAACAAGTCAAAAAGTTCATATGACCCATAGTCCAAAAGTCAATAGATTTTTTGTCTAAATGGCTTTATAGTTTACAACTTTAAGTGCTTTATATCGCCCACAATCACCACAATCTTACTAATTCCTCTAATCGAAAACGTGTTTAAATTGGGTAATTAACAAATACATGGCATTGAGTTTTTCTAATTAAGCCAAAATTTGTAGTCAGTAAGTGAATAAATTTCATTAAACTAAATATTTAAAACACACATGGCAACAGCGCGTCGGTCTTTCATCACTCTTATCGTACCGGCAATCGATCGCAAATGGTAACAGTGGTTAGTTATCGTTTTGCATAGATACATTACTTTTTCGTTTTGTCGGGCAGAACTTCGGGCGTGTTGTTTTGTTTTTGTTCGCGTACGTCGTCGTGTTTATTTACAATGTTCTCGAATCAACAGTTCGCCGACATGTTGAAAAATTAAGGTAGGTTACTGTAGAGCAGGAGGAACAAATTTTAAGTATCGTGGAAATCAATGCCGCTATCAGCACTCAGGAATTAGGCCGCCGCGTAGGACTATCGCATACCATAGTCTATAGAATCCTAAGGGAAATTTTGCTTTATCCCTACCATGTACAACGAGTGCAGGCCTTGTTACCAGAAGACTATCCTCGCAGGCTAACATTCTGTCAGTGGTTTTTGCACAAAAACATTGAAAATCCGGATTTTTTAAAAACATTCTAGCGACGGACGAATGTACTTTTTAAAAAAAGTAAAAGTATAAATTGCTTAAAATGAGTGGATAAATAATAAACATAAACAATAAATAACCAAAAACAATAAATGAATAAAATCAGTAACTGAAACAGTATTTAATAAAACAACATAATAAATGAAATATATATGTTACCGGTAATCTGTGCAATTCAGGTAATATATACAAAACATAGGCAATATATAGAATACCTAGGTTGCCGAGGCAATGTATGAAATATTATGAATATTATTATCCATTACATACTCTACCTAGGTAATGAATACAATTCCTAGGGATTGTATAGAGTACCTGCAGTTCCACCGACAATGTGTAAAATGAATAGATCTTGGTCTAAATTTAACAATGTTAACAGGCATAACTATAAAATGACGGGCAAATGAAACAAGTTATATTTAAAATCAATTTTCTTAAAATTGACAATTAGAGTACTTCTTAAAAATAAGCTTTATGAAAAAGGTACAAGAAATGCACCCCTCTGTTACTACAGTAAAATTGATGTGAAACTAAAAATTATTCTGGTTATAAGTAACATAATGTAATTTTCTTTGCTTACAAGGGCGCATTTCGTTTATTGCCTGCCTGCCGATACATACAACCCGTTCCTTGCTCTCGTCTTTTACATACATTACGGGCTGCGCAGTTGGTATTGTATAGAATACATAGGCAAAGTATAAAACAAATAATATTTTATACATTACCTACACGGTTTAGGTATTCAGAATTTTTATATCTTTTTAATTTTTTTAAGGAATAAAATTTTTGAGCTCTAACGTGTATGATTCACATGTTAATATACTTCAAAATCAGTCAACCACGATGTGACTATGCTATTCACCTCTCAGATGGCGAAATATGACAACGCAGCGCATCCATTCCATCCTGTGTTCGATAATCGATCTGCTGTGGTCTATTTATTCTCCAACGTCACTGGAGTTTATGTTTTGTGGTCACTTGTTGTGTTATTTGACGTCCAGCTATTTGTGGAAAATGGAATTTTGGAAGAATTAATGTCCGTGTAAAAAGTGCTCTCTCCAAGATTTTTTTTTGTGCAGAAATACATATTAGACTGTCGTGTACACGTTAAATCTGCAATAACCCCCAAATACGTGGTTATGTTGAGTGTAGCATGTACCATCACCGATGGTGCGACTGATAAAACACTGAAATCGAAACAAAAAACTGCAACTATAATTGTATGTACGAATGTTGAAAATCTTGAACAGTTGCGGACCAGTGGTGTCAAAATGTCGTTGAGGAACTGAAAAGAAGTGTATGAATGTGTTGAAACGCAACACCTAACCAAAATTTGAGTGAAAAGGCTTTTTTATGTAAGGGTTTGGAAGTGCAAGTTTGTAAATGTAGGATAAACTATAAACACGGTAGGTGATGTTAAGTTAATATAATCGCAAATGTATTTTACTCAGACATCAAGCATTTTTTTAAATTTTGGTTAGTTTTATATAATTTCATAATATCTAATACACTGAAAACATTTTCATGGCAAACTGTCACTTCATATTTTACAATGTTTTGTTTTGAATACTTTGATGTTATTTGCTGCCAAAAACTTGATGGAGATATCTTGAGGCTGATTGGGTATATTTAACGGACCGTTTGGTACTCGTACCCTATTGGTGCAAAATAATGGTTTGTTAAATTGTGAAATCCACCCCAATACTATTAGACATATTTCACGCATCATAGAGTTTTCCGTAAATTTATTAGTAAGAGCTTTCGTAGTTAGTCCGTTAGTGTGCTGTGGAATTTTATATCGTCATCTACGCGGGATTGATCACAGCAACGCTCATGTGCGCCCACAGAGTTCTTTGTGTCCAGAACTTTTTGAATTGCGGAGGGTAGCAAATTTTCTCAGTGGGGGCCCAAATCTAAACAGCTCCAAAATTTTACACACAAACATGGTAAATATTCAAATTTCAATTGTATGAGGCTGTTTGACTGACCCGATTCATTTAATCTGTTATACTCGATCATAACTTTTTTCTTAGAAAGGTTAGTTTGTGCTTAACACAGCATATAGTCTACCTACTTTACTGACTGGTATATGATGGCATAAGTCAGTCTAACAAACCAAAAATTCACCCTGCTGCTTAAAATATTTTTATAGTAGGATTTTACAAAGGAATTATATTCTTCAAGGTGAACGAAAAATGGAAAAAGACATATCATCTGGGACAGAACAATTACTTTACTGGATGACTTTCATATTAAACGTTGAAACCCGAACGGTCACCTGTATGCATGTCTATATTTTTGAAATCAGTAACAATTATCAAGTTGCAGAAATGGTTGATCACTTTAGATTGTATTTAATGCTGATCGCTACAACGGCCTGAAATGCGATTGTTTCATATTTACTGTGAATAAGTAAATTCGGCAAAAACAATATCTATTTGAAATAACAAGAGAGAAAACAGCAAGCTATCTGTTGGAACTGTATCTCAGTTTGCATTGTCATCCTTTTCACCAATGTGGCCTAGACCATGCTGATGAGTTGCCAAAAAGCATGAAACAGCTGTCCATGGTTGACCCTGTTGAGCGCCTAGGCCCTCGTCTAAGTCCGCCCTTGCATGAGCAGGAGATAATTTTGACCCTTTGGCCGTTTTTTCTGCCCAAATGCGTAAGCGTATCTCAATGTGAAAACATATTCTAGCACTTATAATGCCGCTACCATTAAATTTGATGGCAAGCACGGGAGGCATTTATAAAAAAGCACTCCAGTGTACCTTGGTAATGATGCTAAATGACTTGTCGAGACGAGAATGTGATTTCGGGGGACTATTTTTTACTGGGAGCATAACGCTGGCATGGAATGGAGTAAAAGGGTATAGCGAAAATCTGGCAAATTGGCGACCATTTAGAAACTCCCTCCTTTAGATTCAAGAATGTTTAAGGAGCAGATTAGTCTGTCTCGGTTGACATTTTGGATCCGATAGACCAGGAGAAAACAGAAAAGCACACGATTTAAAAAACAAAATATTGATTATGTCGCATACATGCAGAGTGTTCCGTACTTAAATCATTCATTAACGTATTCCACCAGGTAGAGTACGTTAGTCATTGCTTAAATCAAATGAGGAAAAAATGACAAACGAAGTCCCCAACAAGAGCCAACCTACACATTGTGGTATAAAATGGCTAGAAGACCTGGAATTTTCAAAGCGACATCTAACCACAACCACGCGGCCGGTTATATCCACTTGCTGTGGTACTTCAAGCCCAAAGGATCTACAAAGAGAAAATGATCATGCGGAGAAAGGTATATAACAAAAAATAGGAAAATAATTGGCAAAATCCGCAAAAAGGGAAAGAAGATTCGAACAGAAAATAGAATAGGTAACCCGAGCAATACGTATTTCTGCTTGTTGGCTTCATCAGGCCCGAAATTAATGCGCAGATGCAACCACGAAAGTAGATACACATGCTTATACATCCAGATACGGGTGTAACCTGAGGAAACGAAGACGGAGAGGAAAAAATGACACACGAAGTCTCCAACAAGAGCCAACATTGTAGTATAGAATGGCTGGAAGGCGACATGAAAATTCGAGGTCTTCTAGCCATTTTATACTACAATATGTAGGTTGGCTCTTACTGGCACTACGTTTGTCATTTTTTTTCCTCTTCATCTCCGTTTCCTCGGTTACACACATGTATGGGAATGTGTATCTACTTTTGTGGTTGCATCTGTGCATTCATTTCGGGCCTGATGTAGCCAACAAGCAGAAATACGTATTGCTCTGGTTACCTATCCTATTTTCTGCTCGAATTCACTTTCACTTTTTGCGGATTTTGCCCATTTATTTTCGTAATATATAATATATATATACAGGGTGGTCCATCCATGTGTGGACGGAATATTACTCATAAACAAATATATTTTTGGAAAATATATTTATGGCATGTTATACATCATATTTGAAGGCACATTTTTAAAATATTGGCAATTATACAGGGTGTACCAAATTTGACCTACATATCAAAGTTGTGATTTTTTAAATAGAATGCCTCAAATTTAATTGCATATTTGGATAAACCAATTCAAAGAAGAAGATTGATATAACATACTATGGGGTTTTGGTAATTAGCTACTACCCTCAATCCGCTATTTTGGAATTTAGAGTGCTGAATTTTGTATAAAAAAAAACTTACGCACCTCAACTTTTATCTTATTTGTTACTTTTTTGAATTTTCGTTTTTGCTCATACAGGGTAGTCAAAAACGCGAGTTGTACTTTTTCTCAAAAATTTCAAGTGCAAGTATATTTGTGCAAGTGTGGATTCAATTTCTTCGTGAGCTTTTTTTTTGGTATACGGTTTGATGCAGATCATCCATGAAAACAAAAGACAAACAGTGGGCTACTTCCATATTGCCACTAAGAGTACAGATTTGTCGTAAAAACTAATAACAATCATAACAGTATAAATCAGCTTCAAGCGTAATAGAGAAAAACAAATATAACAACAACATAAACAAACAACTATCACTACTCAAGACCTAATCTACAAAAACTACTCGAAAATATCTCTACCATGTTGAATACACCGCCGCAGTCATTGGATAAATTACCGTTGCACATCCCTCGGCATGTCTTCCCTTATATTTAAAAAAGCATCCTTAATCCTTTCCTTCATATTTTCAGGGGTAGTTGGTGGATATCTATAAACCGCTTGCTTAACGTGGCCCCATAGAAAGAAATCCATCGGTGTCATATCTGGTGATCTAGGAGGCCAAGATATAGGGCCATCACGACCGATCCAACGATTGTTACTCCAGGTGTCCAAATAGTTACGCACACGATTATGATAATGCGCAGGTGCGCCGTCATATTGGAAGTACATATGCATCCGAGTTTGCAGGTTGACATCCTCCAAAGCAAATGCTCGATCAAAAAATTCAAGTATTCTGTACCTGTTTATCTGTTGTCGAAAAAGAAAGGCCCGACAACTTGTCTGCCAATAACTGCTCTCCAAATATTCAACCTCCATTTAATTTGGGAATCTATTTGCCTAGCCCAGTAAGGATTTTCCGTTGTATAATAGTGCATGGTATGCCTGTTGACAACACCTATGCTGTTAAAAGTTGCCTCATCGCTAAAAAGGACCTTATCTAGGAAATTAGTGTCTTCACTCACTTTATTTAGCATTATTGTACTAAACTCCATTCGAGCTACAAAAACTTGAGGACGAAGGCCCTCAAATATCATGTATAACCTCCCATAAATAGATTTTCCGAAAATGTATTTGTTTATGAGTAATATTCCGTCCACACATGGATGGGCCATCCTGTATATATTGACTGGCATACAATGTGAGGACTGCCTGTATACCATAAAAAGTGAGGACCACCAGAAAGCAATGCAGATACAGATGTGGTTTTAGGCATGATTGATGCCATTGTTATATCTAAAAGTGGCGAATATACGATGAAACTATTTTAAATGTATGACTTGTACATAGGACAAAGTGGAGACCGACCGAGCTCCCAACTTAACGAGGTCCATATACTGAAACAAAGTGAGGACGTTTCAGGATATATTCTCACTTAGCGCATACAGAGTGAGGACCGTACAAGGTTGCCTATGTCAACTGGTATTTCTCAAAGTTCGCTTTGTTTGGTACGTAGCTGTGATACCGCAAATACAGAGAAAGAGAGAGAGGGAGATATAGTTGTTGACCGTTTCAGTAGCTTAAATTACCAGATACATTTCGTGAGCGTCTGCGAAATGTGATCCATGCAGGAAAGTGAAACTTCCCAACATGCAATAACAAAATGACGTCAGGTAGGTTGACTCGTTCGGGGATCACGATATTCAGGTGATCAGGATACATTTTGTGAGCATCTGTGAAATTTGGTCCACTCAGGAGCGTGAAATACCCCACCATGCAACATTGAAATGATGTCGAGTAGGTTGACTCACTTTAGGAATAACGTGATTGGGCTAATTAGGATACATTTAGAGAGCGTCTGCGAAAAGTCATCCATGCAGGAGAGCCACACTTCCCAAGATTCAATAATAAAATATCGTCAAGTAGGTTGACCCGTTCTGGAATACGATATTGGGCGGACTACGATACATTTCCTCACTGTCAGCGAAATGTGGTCCATCCAGGAGTGAGAAACACTCTACCACGCAGCATTAAAATGTCGTCAAGTAGGCTGACTAATTCAAGGAATAACGTAAATAGATGGATTATGTTACATTTCGTGAGCGTCTGTGAAATGTGGTCTATGCAGGAGCGGGAAACACCCCACCATGCAGCATTAAAATGATTTCAAGTGGGTTGACTCACCTCGCCGTGCAACATTGAACTCAATCAGAGGCATTCTACCTCATACTCCTTTTTACAATTGTGTCGTCTGATTTAGCAGTTTACCTCACAGTATTAGGACACTCAAAAGCTACAACGAAATTCAAGGCTGAAGTTAAAAGCCCTCTTTCTCATCAGACGTGCATTTTCATCAGACGTGCATTTTATAGCGTTAATGAATTTTTAAATATAAATCCACAATTTTTTGAGCATGTTTATTATTGTATCATTTTATGGTTACTTATGTTCAGATTATTTTTATGTATTTTAATTCACACTGCACTGCGGTATTTTAGATCTGTTTTAAGCTGCTTTTTTTAATAAAAGCATGCTTGGTGCCTACATTGCATTTGTACCTGTAATTAATATGGCACATGTACACTGTATTTTGAGATGTCAATAAATCTAATGTCTAATATACGAAACACCAAACATCGTCTGCTATACCATAGCTGAATAAGCTCAGACAACGGACTGGAATGTCGTCTATCACACTATTCAGATACACCAATACGTTCCAAACCTTCAAAGAGGTAGCACTAAAAGAGGAAGAACACCACTCCCTGTTTATAGGAGACGTTTCCTACGCCTCTGTCAAGCAAATAGCTGAAAAGAATATTCAAGAATCCATAGGCCGCCCACGTTCTGAATGGAATGGCCGCCAGCTCCCAGCTCAGTCTACATCTAGAGTAAGCGTTCGGCTCCTCATAATTATTTTTAATTGCCTGGTTTTCGGATTGTTTACAATCCACCCGACAACGGAAAAAGGCGTATAAATTCTCCTGAAGGGTCTATCCAGCTGGATTTTAATCTCTCAGGCCGCTGTCTGTGAATTTGCTAAAAGCTTTAGCCCAAGTTACCTTGAGAATATTAGTACCGGCAGTTTTTTTTATAAAGCTGATGAATATCTCAAATAGGTCAAAACTATGTACACGAAATGCAATCCAGTGTTGGATCTTAGGACAATGCGGAGTGCCGGGTAAAAGAAGGGCTAACCACTAAACTACAATTGTAGAACGTCCTTACGGCCTCCTTGATTTTCATAGTTTTCTACTCTGCCGTATCAGCGCTCTATTTTGAGGTTATGTTACAAATATTTATTTGCATCAAATTGTTCATGGTTTCCGTTTATAGGTATCATCTGTTACATAGCCTGAAATTTCCTGCAATTCAAGAAGAAAACACAATAGAAGAGCGCTGACGCTGTCACGGAACAGTAGAAATTTAGAAATATCCCCGCCTTTCTGAAGGAGAGAAAAGGCTCTGAAAGTCAAGAAGGCTATGAAGGCGTCCTACAATTGTCGGAACGACTGACGTTACGCTCCTAAAAGCTAGAAGCTCTTAGGCTAGACTCAAACCTGGGTTGAGTAACAGCAGATATGACGGGCATGTAAATAAAAAACTACAATTCCTGCAAGCCTACAAGTTGAAAGTAATTTGCAGTACCTGCAAGCCTTACTTAATTCCGTAACATAAATATCTGCACTTGTAATTAAAGAGAACGTAATAACTTGCCCCAGCATGTTTTGGATAGATATTGTGATTTCGCACGATATGTTTGCACATCATAGGTAGATGTAAAATGACGTCAAGGTAGATCGTTTTTGAGCGTAAAATGCAACTTTGAATTAAGGAAATAAACATATCCATTTCGGTGATTTTTGCATATCACACACACCATAGTATCGGGTCCGTTCCCGAGCAAGTGCTGGGCAATTCTTCTGAAGAAACCTCAGTCCATACCACCGATTCATTTTGTTTACAAGCTTTTGTCCTATATCAGGTAGACAATTTTCAAATAGGTGTCAGAAGAAATCTTTTGTTGAACTTAAAATCACTACTTAAACTGAAGTCACATCTGATATTAAATCTATATTCTCTAACAGTATTTTTATTTTCACTAAGAGAATCGTTAAACTCTGATAACCGATTATTATCATATTCCTAAGCGTGAAGTTATTATTGTACCAAAGTTGTGCTTTGTCATTATTAATCCTTACCCAGATATATAAATACGTAAAATAAGCTACAGCTATCGGAAATTCTGAAACACAAGCTTACAAAAGTTGTGAATACATCCAGAATTGTAAAATATGTTCCGTAATTATTAGTGCAGCACAAGTAGTTACAACTGGTTACGGAATAATTACGTGTCAAGCGACTGTTTCGGTCACAACTGTAGGAGTCATAACCATAGAATCAAGGACGCCATGGTCGTTACGTTTGTTCATGGTAATCACATATTATGACAATATGAACTCGGCGAAACTAATAAAGTGTTGGATATATATGTTCCAAAAAATAACAATGAAACCGAAATCATACTAATTCAATCTTATTCTCTTGTCACTGAAAATAAAAATAGCCCAAACCTGAATTAATAAGACCACCTAAGATTTCAAATACATATTATAAATAACTACAGCTACAAATTCAACATTTCCATAAATCATCACTACATTTAATTATTTTGGTGAAAGTACATAATCATTACTTCTTTTCTACTGTACCAATGAACCACAATTGAATATTAACCAAAAAGGCAAATTAGTTTATGGAGGTGTGCACTTTAACTACCGCAATGGCGAGCCGCATTCTTCCTTACGTAAACAGAAACTCATAAAAGCTCATTCACGGTGTTCGTAGCTTTTACTTACATAACGCCTGAAAAGCTCACAGCGTTTTCATTAAAAGCCCTTGCAGGTAATTGGAATCCTACAGGAATTCCGCCGTGTATATACAAAATATAAAGTTCGCATGACAGAAACTGATATTATACATAAACGAGATGAGATGAATATATATAAGCACATCACGGAGTGTAACACTCTGTATAGTTTAAGTTTTGTCATGAGTTGTTAAATAGTCGGTGTGGTATGTCAATTGTCACATAGCTGTCAGTTTTGTTTATTTCTAGATATTTCCATTACGTTCCGCAAAGTTTGTAGTCTTGATTTTTCTAGAAATTGATTATGTTACTAGGATATTATAAGGCATTATCAAAATTGGTGGTTGCTATTTTATTTTCGAACTTGACCTCCAAACAGTTAACGTCAGTAAGCTGTCAAAGCTCTCTCAATATCAGTGATTTCTATTGAAATGTTGAATAAAGTCGTGAAAAAACGGTTGCCATATAAATAAGGATACATTATAGATGTAATAGTATGTCTTTGTGCTTTAGAATTAGGATAACTTTCATAGAATTTCAAATTTTTATCATTTCAGAAAAAACGATCAGTTATTCAAGTGGGACCAATGGGAATGCGGCAAATAATAGGTCGAATTTCTAGCTATTATATTTGGTAGGATGTTTTCACTGTTTTTGACGACTGTTCATGCATGGCAATCTGATTTTGTCTGTATATCTCGTACAGGGTGTTGTACATAATACGTACCAGTAGAAATCTACCGATTTTTGTTATTTTGCAAAAAAAGGATATAAAACGTATTCCAACTGGTTCATCATCTTTTGTTACTTCAAAAACAATTTTTGCCAATTTATGATCTAGAAATCCACACCAAATGTAAACAAACAGCACATTCTGCATTTCTGGGTCCTAAAACATCGATATTTGTAAAAGTATCCGCATCCACCTATTATTCATCGTCTAGATATTATAAGTCAGAATCAAAAATACCTATTTATGAAAATGTATCTCCAAACATTGTTGTATTTTCTTATTTCTATTATTATAACACGTCTGAGATATTAATTGCTTTTAAAGTGATCTGCAGATCTGCAATATTGCCAAACCGGGAAAAAGCGGAATCGGTAAATAGTGTCGAGTTCGGTATAAGGTAAGATCAGTGTAGATCCAGGACCTTTGAGTCATGAAAAACGTCTGTTATTGTATTAGGCGCGCACACAACATGTTTTTTGAGCTCGTAGTTCTATATTACAACTTCTACAATGTGCATACTGGTCCCGCTCTTTCAAAGTACTTCGCAAACCATTCTGGAACCTCCTTTTTCGATTCTTGCTTATCTGAATATTTTTCTGTTTTACCTCTGAACAGACCACTCATTTTAATTAAATAATAAAACATACAGGTTGATGAGGTAATGGCGGTAATCTACCAGTCTATACCTTTTGTATGCACAAAAATCAATTCAGGGCAAGCGGAGTAAGGAATGAGAATGTGCGTTCGTAATCATAGGCAACCCAAATCTACGCCTCTCATGTGCCCGACTGCCTGCGTATGTATGCATATGTATGACTGATATGGGGCATAAAACTATGAATACTCCATAAAATTGACTTTTAGCCTAATTTTTGGTTTCAGCTCTTTTTCGGCAAGTATAGAAATATTTAAATGATTTTTAAAAATCGTGGAGAATGATGTTATCGGTAAATATCCTCTTTTCGGTAAAAATACCAAAAATCCGGTTCAAACCAATGCATAGACAATCTGAAATTTGCAATATGAATTTATATTCTAAATTCTATGCATATTCGTTCATATTCGTCAATATTTCATTTGAAGCTTTTATTTATCATAAGATTTCATCAAAATGTAAGATAGTAAAGGCAACACCTCACCCTGCAGGCCAGTTGACAAGAACGACAAGCTATCAAGATTAGGGATGTTTAGATACACGAAAAGTATCGTTATGTATCGATTCTTAACGTTTTAGGAAGTAAGGATACTCTAAAATATTGGAATAAAATTATCGATATCCAGCGGAAGGAAACAAAGAAGAAAAGTAATCTGAAGTTAGTTACTCTTTCTGACACAAAATATCGGGTATGGGAAGCAAAGTATCGATACTTCTAAATATAGGATCGTATCGAACATCCCTACTGTCAAGATGTATCACCCGAGGTACAGACGGAGCTATTTTGGGGGTCATGGAAATAATTTAAAATTTTCATTTGCATTTTTTCAAGTGTTGTACAACGATTTTGGGAAAAATTCCACGAATAGTCTTATAAAGCATAGTAGAGTATATTTCAACAGTTGGCGGAGCGTACTCCACTGAGACCAGGGGGGTGAAACGGGATATTAATGCAGAATCTGGCAACCATGTCGCACCCTCAAAAAATGGCCACTGACAACCACACAAGTCACCGTGTTGTCATTGAATAGCATGAAATTAAGTCTTCTTCAGTGTATATGTTTTGTGACTGGGACCAAGGGTTGACGGATCCCACACATGTGTCACTCGGGGTGTTTTGAAATGCAACAATCAGCTGTTATTCAAATAATGTCTAATTATATAACCTAGAATGTGTACTCATGAAGAAGAAAAATATGGGAAATCTCTAGTTTTTTTGCAGGTTTTAGGTTTGCTGGTAGCTTTAAGACATATGTTTGGGTATTTCTTAATCGCTGTAAATATAGTGTGGATATTTGTTCAGTTCCTGAACAACGAAAAATATTCAACTTTATGGATGTATGGATATCAAAAAATCTGAATGGTTTTGTGGCAATAGCAGTCTAAGGTGCCACAATGGTTCTGATGAACGGCAAGTAAATGAATGAATGTTTGGAAACGAGCAATATCTATGAAATTTTTGGTAGAGTCTGTCATCAAGTAGGTGTTTAATGGCTATCTGCAAGAGGTTTATAGGAAAAAAAAAACACGGGAGGTGATGTTAAATCAGTAAAATCGCATATCAATTGAAGATTATAATATAAACTTGAATAAACTATCGACAATATTAAATAAAAACATGAATCAAAAATCA